ACGGACGCAGGCTTCTTTCATCGCCTGCCACAAATACACCCATAGGAGGAAATTAGGAATCAGCTGAGTCTATCTCCTGATCTACCCATTACACAGCATTGTTTTAAGCTGTTAAACAGCTGCTGGGTTGCAAGAGTCACAAAAGCAGTTTCTGTATTTTTCCTCTTTGAGCTCCTTTTGAAAATATATGTCCTGCATCACATGCGAGTCATTCAGTTTCAGCACATGCTGTTTTATGGGATATAGTAATACTCGGGCACGTCCTTCGTAGTCTCCATTAAAAAGCAACACTACAGCAATACTGAAAATAGCACAGTTACAGCTAATTTTTAATACAGAGGAGAAATGGGAAAAGATTTGTGCCATGAATTTTGATCACAGGAAATGGGAACACAAGAGACCTCATGAATTCTTTTAGTCCATTCTCTTTTCCCCATGGATCAGTTCTAAGTGATTACGGGGTGTTTCTTGACCAACTGGATCCAGGATTCATCTGAATCCTGGACATACAAAAGAGTGTGAAACACTACAACATGAGCTAAAGGACCCATCTTTTAATTGCTAATTATCTCAGACACAATATGCCACCCAAATCAGTCACTAGAGAAGGACAAATCCCAACTTGTTCCCAGTCGAGGTGACATTGCCAGTAAACCCTTAACGCACTCCATTTTTCCCCTTCCTCCCTCAAAATTGTGACTGATGTTTGACAAGTCCTTACCTGTTGCTTCCACCATTCCTTCCAGGATGACCACAATTTCAAACTCCTCCTTCTCCAGCTGGGTGCGGGACATCTCCCAGAAAGGGCTTTTCTCATTGATTTCATGTGAGATGATGAGAGGTGACACCAGGAACAATCTGTCATCTCCGGTGTCAAATCCCACGTTGATGTCCGTTTGGTTCAAGGGGATAAACTCTCCTTCTTTGGTCTGTTTGGACTTAATCAGTTTGGCTCTAATGGAAGCCTCAACAATGTGGGAATTGCGGAGGTCTCCAACCCGGAACATGAGACAGAGCTTCTCATCCCTCATGGAAATCACGGCATTGTTAGAAAACATGAGGGTTTCGGCCCTCTTCTTTGGTTGGCTGATCTTGACAAACATGCATCCCACCATGAACGCGTTGACGATGGAGCCCAGAATAGCCTGGATGAGGAGCAGTACGATGCCCTCTGGGCACTTCTCCGTTATGACCCGATAGCCATACCCAATCGTTGTCTCAGTCTCGATAGAAAACAGAAACGCAGACACAAATCCACTGAGATTTTCAACACAGGGGATCCAGTTCTCATCTTCAAGATGGTCCAGGTCTCCCCGGATATAGGCAATGAGCCACCATATGAACCCAAAAAACAACCAAGTGATGGTATAGACCATAGTGAAGACAAGAAGATTAAAACGCCACTTGAGGTCCACCAGCGTAGTGAAGAGGTCACTAAGGTATCGATAGGTTTCTTGGACATTTCCGTGGTGCACGTTGCACTTGCCACTTTTCTCCATGTAACGCTGACGTGGCTTCTTACCTTCTGCTGATATGAGGCGGGTTCGGTCAGTGGCGATGGGGACGTCATCCCGAGCCTGTTTGGGAATCTTCTTGGGCTCTCTGGATGTAACTCCGATGTCCATGTCCTGGTTCATGAAGATCCTAGAATCTCCGGCCATGGCTGGGCTGCAGGAGAGCAAAGAAATGAAGTTTAAGATACGAGGAAAAGAGCTGAGGGAAAAAGCCACTTGGTTTATGACAGAATAGGAGAAGAAACATGGCAAATATTAGACAGACTTTGCCCCGTGCTGGAGCAGGGCTGGATCCAGGCTGAGTCTACACCAGGAAAGCTCTTCACTACTACCACAAATTTCCTCCTACTATTGTTTTGGGAAACACTTTGAAAGGCTTCAGCACTTTTCTCACAACAGCTACTTGCTAAATATAATGCTGCTTTGAACTGGATGTTAAATACTGACTCATAATACACCGTCTCTTCAAACATGAACCAGCTGCCAGTCACTTTGCATAATGCACTACCGGAGCCTCGGAAAATACGGTGATGGGGACGGTCTGGGAGTCATGAAATAGGGAAACCTTGCTACAGTTGTGGGTTTTAGGCTTATTTTTGGTCCTCAGATTTTTTTTGCACCCAACATTGAGATCGCAACTAGCAGCAAAGTCAAGTTACTTCAACATATATTCTCAAAAGCGATTGGAGTTCTTCGATGCCCCACGTTTTAGGTGCATACCAAGAGAAAGAAACCTTAGAAATTAATAGAAAACCCTGAGCACCGCCGTCTACCTAAATCTCACATCAGTCTAAATTATGCATGAGGTTTCCCTTCCAGTCAGCACAGAAAGGCACCTCCAGGGGTAATTCAGATTTCAGGTGAATCACCTTCTGGAAGTACCCACCACCTCCACAAATCATTCTGGGAGCCCGGGCTCCAAATGTGAAACAGTCTTTAATTTAGCATCTGGAATTACATGTCTGAAGGTGTGATGACTCCAGGCCCGGTGTTACTCAGACAGATCAGAACCCACCCCTTCACTTCATCTGACGTTAGACAAAAACACCAGCCACCTTTAGAAACCTAACGCAGAGCTATTCCAAAGCCCACTGTCGACACGCAGAACTAGGCTTAACAAGCTACAAATAAATAATACAAAATGACGGCTGCAATGATTTTTGCAGGTTATAATGTAACATCCTGTTTACCCAGATGATTAGATATTCCTGTAAAACAAAACAAAACCCACCACACATGCTGTCCCTGTAAAACAAAACAAAACAAAACCCACCACACATGCTGTATTGAAAAATGAGAGTCTGGACTCTGAACACAGGGCACAGACAAAATCTCAGTGAAAGACTACCTAAGGAGCCTTAGGGATATCAAAGATAGAGTAGCAATATTCTCTATGGCGTTCATTCTCTGCATTGTCCTCTGCAAATCCTATTAAAACCTAACTAAATCTATTACTGCTCCCTCTATCTTTAATCTTCTTACGTGTCTGTGAATGAGGAAAGGTGTAGAGATACAATTAAGAGTGTCTTGGGAAAGACAATTTTAAGCCCCAGCAAAGTAGCTTCATCTTTTCGGTATTAAAAAGCACAAAGGGTGGGCGGGGAGGAAGCAGAGGCAGGATGAATAAATGAAGCAACAAATTTCCACTTATATTCCGCCGCAGCCAAGTCTGGTTAACAGCAAAGAATTACTCTTAGCCCTTGTATAAGTCACCATCAATCATGACTCCAACGGAGCCGCCGGAGCCTGTTGCTGGAACCGTACCCGCTGGCGGCGTGCGCCAGGGAGCCCGGCCATCTGTCCACAGCCCCGTCCCAGCGCGGCTCCGGCTTCTTCCCGCTGGCAAATCTGCCAGGTTTGGAAGGTTTGGGCCAGGGCTGAGCCAGTGCAACCACGGGAAGGGGTAAATAATGGGGATTAACCACACTGGGGTGGTAAATTAGGAGGAATCGGGCTTGCTGCCCCCAGCGCATACGCTCCTGGGCGTGGGACAGATAACCCAGCACTGTTCCCTTCCTCAAGCAGCAACATCGAGGATTTAGGCAGAATATTAATCCCTACCTCTATTTCTTTTGCTGCTGAAGGCAGGACTCCTGGGAGCTGGCTCGTGGTATATTTAGAGATGTATCTCCAGCCATTTTTACGCTACTTGTTGCAAAAATCAGCTCTCCTGGGCCGTGGCTCTGGCTCTGCTGCCTCACGGCGCGCGCAGCGACTGCCAGATGCTCCCAAATTCTGAGAGTCCATATTGACTCTCACTTCACAACATGTGAAAGCACACGCCAAGTGCAAGTCAGAACAACCACATCCTTTTTTTTTCCCCCTCTCTTTAATAGGGAAAGAAGCATCCCATCCACTGCCTTCGAGAGAATTAGGTTCAGAGAAGAACCTCTTCGCTTTCTTCTTACGAATATTACTTTTGATCTTTGTTTGCAATGTTTGATTAATCTAAAATTACTCCATTTGGACTAAAAAGCTTTTGATCAATCTCTGCGTAGAAAGGTAAAAAACGGCAAGTGTTTCATGTTCTCAATTTAAAAAGAATTGGTTTAGCGACAATTTTGTTATGAAAGTTCTATTTGAAGCTGAGCTTCACTGACACTGAAGAACAATCAGTCTCAAGACATTATTCTATAGCGTAAGGTTTCATATTTTAGACTGATACCAAAGAGACCAAAAAGATCTTGAAACATATTAAAAAGAACAGACTAGAATAAAAACAATCAAAAAGCCCAAATCCCTAGAAATATCACTGTGGGGAAGCAGGCTGGAGGGACTGCCACTAATGAAAGTGGAGGGAAACCTGCTTTAACTGAAAGACCCGCGGGACCGGCAGCATCCCTTCTCTAATGCTGCTGATCTTTAACAATAGGTCAAGTGAAATCTTCCTGGCAACCTTCAGGAACACCTCACACGTGGTCCATTAAAGCAGAAGAATTCCTGCTGTCCATGAACTTTACTGACAGCTCCAGCCGCCTTAACAATTTCTCCTCACATTTAAGCTGAACATTTCCCATCGTAGAATAAGCATAACCTCGGCACTTAATTATTGAACGCAATTAAGCAGATGAATCTTTGCATTAGAGTCTTTACAAGGGATAATATTGGTGAGCAGTTTGAGCGCGGGTCTGGGTGCCTGAAGACCAGCCAGCTTTCTCTTCCAAATGATCTCAGTATTTTTTCTCCAAATCTGAGTAAATCGCTGCTTTTCCTTCTGCCTTAATTCCCCAATTCTAAAACCTGTGACACGGGTATGAATGGTCTGTGAGATCCTCGGCACAAGAATCTTCTAGGAAATTTGCTATCATTATTTTAACTGCTCTGGGAAACTTTAGTACAAATGACAAGTTACTATAAAAGGAGCACTGTAGCTGTGTAAGGACTCGGTTAACTCCTTCATCGTGTAATACACGGCTGTCAAGCACACACATCTCTTCCAGATGACGGTAATTACGTGCAAGCATCTCACGGAGATTCAGCCTTGAGTTTGTAAATCACTGCTCCCTCCAGCAAAGAGATGAAATCACCTCTTACAGCCACACGCACCATCCCATTTCCTCGGCATTTACCATCTTTGGCTAAAGGAGGCCAGGACAATAAAAATGTCACTTTTGTATAAAGCTGTTTTCCTTTTGGCCAGGCTACTGCAAAAGGAGATGTGAGTCAGTGTATTATCAACCTTGTGAAGAGGCTTTCTATCAGACTTGCTGATGCTCAGCTTTTGTCGAGACGACAGACTCGGGGCAGGCGGTGACATTTAGGGCTCTTCCCTTTGCTGGAGAAGAGTCGAGCTGGGGTGAGCTACGGATCTCCAGGAGACACCGTTTTGCAGAGCTCTCTACAAGCCCTGCCTGACAGGGCTGAGGTACTACCTCCTGAGAGCTCCAACAGAAATTTGCTGAAGACATCTCGAAAGGTAAACCAAGAAAAGTCTGAAAAACACTTTTTTTCCCATGCTTGACAGGGCTGAGGTACCTCCTGAGAGCTCCAACAGAAATTTGCTGAAGACATCTCGAAAGGTAAACCAAGAAAAGTCTGAAAAACACTTTTTTTTTTTCCCCCTGCTGACCATGGTGGCTTTTTAAATTTAAATACTCACTGATCTCACTTAAGGAAATGCAAGTTTCAGCGGGGACAGGATTTCTCCTGGAGAGGTCTAAACTGGCAGGAGGGAGGAGTTTGAAGACATGAACTTGTCATCAAGTTTGTTTATGTAAAAATATCCTTCTTTTTGTTTGTGTTAAACCTGACGCCCGTGTTTTCTTGCGTTATGAGCAACTGTTCTTTAGTAAACCCCTCACACCTTCCCAAATCAGGATTCCACTTAATTCTATCACGCTTTTTCCTAAAGAGTCTTATCCCACCCAACAAGCAATCAATACAGCAGGAAATGCTCAACAATTCACTACTGAAATGCTTCCCCTGGTTCTTTTGCTGCCCGTTGGCCCTCACCACATAAACCAGAGCTGGGGTCGCTGTCCCTGGACTCCTCTGGGACAGATTGTCCTTTGGGTTACGCTGCTTGAAGAGAATGAAATTCTTAATTGACAGACAGTGGTGACATGGAGAAGTTGGTAGAGGAACAGAGTAAATTAGAGCAGTAGCACCCAAAGAGGATAAAAGCATCGATTGCTGAACGCTGGCGGAAAGGTGGAGGAAGAAGAAATGTTAGGAGAAGCTGGCTTTTGACAGCCTGAAGAGAAATGGCTATTAGATACACGCCAACTGACAGGTGGGGCTGTGATTTCCCTGAGAAAGGCTTCTTTCCCACTACCCTTTTATTTACTGCCTGTGTATGACTGAGACCAAACAGCAGTGCCAAGATGAGATTACCTTTCAAGGCATCCAGATGCATGTGAGGAAAAGAAAGGCAGGGAGATTCTGCGCAAATCGTGTCATCTTTCAGTTTTCTGAACTTATAAATAGAGGCTGTTGGTGGCTGCCTCTTTGGGAAGTGGTTGGAGATCCACAGGTGGATGGGAATGATGCAAAATTCATGCTATTCTAAACCAGGTCAAAACACTTCAGGAAACTGGGCAGGAAGGGAGAACCGTGGCACTTCACTAATAAACAGGTGGTTCAAAAGCTCCCTCACCCAAATAATTGCTTTTCAAAGCGTAATCTCACTCAGCCCTGAAGTAGGGAGATGCCCCCCATTTCCTCTATGAGTTTTCATTACCCCTTTTCTAAGATGCTGACAGGCACCATTTCACAAGGGAGTTCCTCTGGGGCCAGAGGGGACACCAACCCACCCACCCCCCCCCCACGGCACCAACTGGGGGAGCGGTGAGTAAATGGGCAGCTC